TTGACCGAATCAAATGGTGTAATAATATCTACCGGTACATATTTCTGACACACTGGAACAGTCAGATTTCTAACTTTTTGCTTGATAGTGATGACAAGGATTATCAAGTTTTTGTATTTCTAATAGATCTGCAAAGCATGGGTCACAGGCACGTGTTTATTCTAATAGAACAAAGAAAAGAAAAATCTGTGATGATATGAAAATACTGTAAATATATATATTTGATATTAAAATATTATTTTTATTTAATTTCAGTTTAAAGTCTATCAACAAAACCTGTTAAAATAATACAAACCTTAATATCAATTTTACTTAATCAAACAGCTAACGAAGTTTTGACTCTTAAAGTTGGATTGTTGGAAACGTATCTATTGATATGACAGCATATGGTGCCAGCCTAGAGCAACCGGGGTGAATTAAAACATCGTATTAGTGGAAATTTTAGCGAAAAAGTGATAAATATTTTTAGCGATGTCATTTAAGCGATTTTATAATGCTCATTATAGAAGTAATTACAACATTACGCAATTAATCGTTTCGATATTCAAATTTAGCGATCTAAACATTCTCGCTAATTATGCCAAAATTGAATCCTCGCTGAACATTCTGTTTATACGGTACATTTGACAATATAAAACGAAAGGTAATTCACAATGTTTTGTCTCCATTTTAACTGAATGGCATCGTGCCATTTATTGGCACCTGATCCCACCTCTGATGTTTCGTCCCACCTCTGATGTTTCGGAAGTCTGTGCTTGCTCTGCTCCTTTCTTGTATTGGTTATTGGACGTTTGAGCTTGAATACTGTTCCTTATCTCCATATATTTCATGAAATATAATGTAGTAAAGTATAAAGAATTAAACATATACATGTAATATGTAAACTGTAATCAAGCTCAAAGGTCTTTTAAACCAAAGAATTCGAGTAGGGCAAACTTCAACCTCAAGAAAGATATGAAGTTGGTTAGGTGCCATGAAGGTCTAGTCATCCCCTGTGTGGTCCTTGTCCAGCTCAGGCAAAGGAAAATCTATAGTTGCATCTAAATAATAAACAACTGATATATTTTGATGTGCAAAGTGTGAAGCGTGCGGTGTGAGAGAACATGAAAAGATTGTTGGATTGTTAGATCGTAATGTTAAGTAGCCGTTTGTGGTTAACTCCGAAAGAGCGCAATATTTATTGCATACATAACTGTAAACATGTGTTTTGCTAACATTTCATGTGAAGTGAGTGACCATTCGCGGTTAACTCTGCATGGTCTACTTTGTTTTTTTTTCTAATATGCATATGTTAACGTTGCTAATGTTAAATGACGTTTCTTGTCTGGTCATATTCAATAGACCATTCTTTGCTCTATATATGCTATAACCTCAATCTATATCTAAAGCTATAACTTTTAACTGTTTACTCTCAGTGAACACATGATATTAATCTTCATTTTTTACTTCTGCACGCACTGCTAAAATTGCATTGCTTTAGGCATTCAGAATATTTCAAAGACAAAGTAGAATGGCAACTTAAAGTATTTCAAAACCATATTCATCAGACAAAAGACAATTAATGAAAAAAGAATTTATAGGAAAAATATTTAATTAGAAATTTACTATAAAATTTACTATTGCCCTGCAGAAGAGTAGTACCGCAGTTACTGTGAAAGGGCTAATTCTGATGCTGTCTGCAAAAAGTTTCCTTTCTGCAGCGTTAGAGTTAAAAAAAAAATTGCTCAAAGAACTTGTCCTTTTTATAATGACTGACGGTTTTTGATTCTTTTTTTTCAAAAATAATTTTGTCATGGTGGTATGTTGTTGCTTTTTTTCGAAAAAGAGTAGAGTTTATCCTTTATGGAGAACCCTGATCTAATAGGTTACTCCCCGTTGGAAAGACAAATAATCAGCGAAGAAAGTCTGCGTGGTTAGATATAACGAAGTACGGGCATTATATTTGGATCAAGGTTTCTCCATTTCACACAGTTTGTATAGGATATTATAATCAGATCAAAAGAACAATAACTGATACTCCACAAACTCAGTCTACCTCATGATCGAGGTGTAAACTATTACATGTGATGAAAATAAACAATTTTGTCGCGGCCAAGAGATCTTTGTTATCAAAATGTCGTAAAAAAAAGAAGAAAAAAAGCTAGATTGTCAAATAAAGATTGATGTGTGCCTATTTATTATTGTATGCAAAAATGTGTCCACCATTAAATAAAACTGTCGGAATCCACGACCGGTGGTCAAGTTTATGAGCATGTTGATCCCGATTTGATGATCGGAGCGCAGGCTTTGTCCCCATAATGGCTGGTACCGTGGCCTAAATATATAATAACAATCTCTAGAGGTCATATATTAAGACAATCTCTGAAACACTTCTTAAGAGTGCTAATAAAACAGTTCGTGGAAAAAAGACTTCATTCACATTATCCTTCCCCCATCCGCTGAAAATAGCCATATATAACTAATTTCTTAATATACAGTTTATAAAACACTATGTAAGGACACCTATAGCATTTAAAACGTAACAATATTAATTCAGTCGAATAATTCTATTTGTTTTGTATGTTATCCCAATTGTATTGTTAAAATTTTATTTGAATTTTGGAAAGTTCGCGGACAATGTCAGTCTTCGTTTTACTTTTGAAGAGAATTTAAAATGGACACATTATCATAATTATGAAAAATATTTATACTGTTGATGTGTGTAGATTTTTTCCATTTCATTAGATAAAAAATAATGCTACTTAATGGTTTAAATTTTCCATTTGTATAGCTTTTTATTTGTATTGTATGATTTTCATTTATTTTGCATAATTTTAATTTGTTTTCTATTTTTTCTATTTGTATTATATAACATTTGAATGATATAACCTTCTATTTAATTTGTGTTCTGGATTTTTCAATTGTAATATAAAAAGAATTCATCTGTATTTCGTCGATTTATCGTCCATGCAAACAACAATTTAAAATTAGAATAGAGTATATTTATTTAATTTATATTTTACTATCTTGTAAATAAAATTCAATTTGATTAGTTTAAGACGTGATGTATATAAATTCTACACACATGTTCTCAGAAGTTGATTTAAAAAGGATGTTGGAGTTTCTCACTGACAGCAGTTTAGCTAATAAAGACAAACGATTAAAAATCCTTCTGAAGGGCACAACCTTGTATTCCCTTTAGTAGAATTCTAAGGAGCAGACTGTATTCAAACTTCAATAGAAAAAAAAGAAGAAAACGTGCTGTGGCCTACAACCCGACATTCAAGATCAGAGTCGAAAAAAAACCCAGAATCTGCCATATTATATTCATATTTTGATGTTCTACAGACTTTAGACCTGTTGAAAACTAAATTGAATGACTGACTGGATGGCGTAAGTTTTTCCATAGTCAACTTTTCTTATTCATGTTGTCATATTTCATTATCACATGCATAATTTGGAGTAAAACGTACGTTTCCCGACTTATTCGTTACTCAAATGCACGCTCTGAGTAGGTCCACATTTCATTACACCCATTTAGCTACAGACAGATAAGATTGGGTGATTGATGCGTACATTCTTTATCATCATCGTATTAAATCAACATTTTGTAAATTTTATGATGACCTTATTACCAAATATAATCCATCATTTTAGGACTCACATGTTTCAAACATATTGTTTGGCCGTCATTTTTATACTTAATTTGACTACGAAACAATCCGTTTACCTGATCAATACACATGACTTACGACGGGGTACCGGTGTGGTTTAACAGGGGATGTTTCTTCCTCTTACACACCCAATTCTACGTCTGTAATTTGCTAGGGTCCATGGTTTAGCCCTCTTTGCAGATTTTTGTTGTTTGTAGATTTATTTTAAAGATTGATCATTGTTACCGTTTTCATTTATAAACAAAAATTCATTTACTTTCTGAATGACGAAATCACTTCATAGAACCTATCAGCAGTGAAAAATACATTATATGCTAGGAATTTATGAGAGCGCGATTTACTGTTTAATGCATTTGCAAAAAGCCTTCAGTGTATTATTAAAAGATAATGCATGTAGATGAAGATTATATTAAAATTTTCACCCTTCAAGAACCATTGTAAGGCCATCTTTAAAAGGATGTTTGCTTGCCCTCTCCCGACTCAGGGTAAATTATTAGGTCGGTGGGAAGGTGGGAAAAATCTTTTTCCGGGAAAATTTCAAAATATTTGTTGACGGGTTAAAAGGAATAAAAAGAAAAACATTGTATTCTGGAATGTAAATATGTTTTGAGTCGTGTCATTTATAGTCAGTCGGTGGGGAGAGGGCAACCAACATTTTTTTTAAAAGATGACATCAGCTTTGGCTGCAAATCGATAAATTTACATTGGTTTTTCAAGTGGCAACATTTTTCAATGCCAGCGCTTTTGCGTCAGAACAAATTGAAAGGGGGGGGGGGGGGCTAAGTGAAAGAGAAAAAAAAATTCCAACGTATATATAAAAACTTGGCAAGTGTAGTTTTTTTTTTCAAAAAAAAGGATACTCCAATATTCATGAGGTTTTTGGGATATTATAATTTCATCTTTGTAATGTGTTATTTAGATGGGTAATTGACTAGGCCTGGTTGACATAAAACTTAGAACTTTTTCAGTACCAATTTTTTTTTTCATACACTACCACTTAACCTTTTTTTGACCTAAACTGCGACGTGCCTGTTGAAAGTCATGAACAACATAATATAGGGTAATATAAAGTCATTAACATGCAATAAATGTTCGTGCCAGAACACAATTTTTTGGTAAACAGAACAATAAAGTTCATAATACTTGCTATTTCACAAGTTTAAATTGTTTTTGGAGAACTGGGGTATTGCAATATATAATCTTGACAATACAAAAGTTAAATAACAGGATATACCTTTTATTTGCGAAATTAAAATAACATCATTCAACAAAAACACAAAAAAATGAGAACTGTGTGACTGGATTTGTACTGGGCAGGTTATGTAAAGCTTACTAATGGTGAACTTCTTAATAATATGTCTTGACAGCTGGAAAACAAAGCAAAAAAAACATAATTAAAAATTGATACATTGAAAATACATATTTCCATGATATTTTACAAATTGCCACGCTCATTATAACTTTTGAAAAAAAACTGAAATCTGATACAAAGATCTTGCGAGACATTTCATTTTACTTACATTTTCCAAATCCGCCAAATCCGCCTCCGTATCCGCCACCGTATCCACCGCCATATCCGCCTCCGTATCCACCGCCATATCCGCCTCCGTATCCACCTCCGTATCCTCCACCGTATCCACCTGTTGAAAGTCGTATCCAATACAAAAGTTAAATAACAGGATATACCTTTTATTTGCCAAAAACACAAAAAAATGTGTGTGATCCTCCGTATCCGCCTTGAAAATACATATTTCCATGATATTTTACAAATTGCCACGCTCATTATAACTTTTGAAAAAAAACTGAAATCTGATACAAAGATCTTGCGAAACATTTCATATCCGCCTCCGTATCCGCCACCACCTCCGTAACCTCCCCACCGCCATATCCGCCTCCGTATCCACCTCCGTATCCTCCACCGTATCCACCTCCGTATCCGCCACCGTATCCTCCGTATCCGCCTCCGTATCCACCTCCGTAACCTCCCTTTCCTCCAAATCCACCACCATAGCCTCCGTATCCACCTCCGTATCCGCCACCATATCCTCCGTATCCACCTCCGTAACCTCCCTTTCCTCCTCCGTATCCACCACCATATCCTCCGTATCCACCTCCGTAACCTCCCTTTCCTCCTCCATATCCACCACCATATCCTCCGTATCCACCTCCGTAACCTCCCTTTCCTCCTCCGTATCCACCATATCCTCCGTATCCACCTCCGTATCCACCTCCGTAACCTCCCTTTCCTCCAAATCCACCACCATAGCCTCCATATCCTCCTCCGTATCCACCACCGTATCCTCCTTTTCCTCCTATGAAGATGATTCCACCGCCATATCCCCCTTTACCACCTCCGTATCCACCTCCGTATCCTCCTCCGTATCCGCCTCCGTATCCCCCTTTTCCTCCGAATCCGCCTCCGAATCCGCCTTTTCCATATCCGCCTCCATAACCACCTCTACCACCACCCCATCCGCCTCTGCCGCCGCCTCTCTTGCCACCGTAGTAACCATAAGCGAATGTGCAGCAAACAAGCGAAAGAAGGATTAACAAACGCATGATGGCAATCTATCTGGAAAAAAAAGTGGCGATTAATGAGAGATTTCATCTTCATAAAGAAGATTAAATGGAAATGAAAAAAAAATAATAATGAATATACAGAACGTTTAACACTTAAAGATCAATAGTCTTTTCTCACAAATATAATTATAGAAATAACCATAGGGCATCTTTAAAAAAGAATTTTGGTTGACCTCGGCTAAATATGCCCCAACTAAATTTTTTAACCTCCAAGAACATTTATTTCATTTCGGATGAAAATTTTCAAAAAAACTTCAAGAAATCTAGAAAATTCAGCATTGATGTTGAAATTTTCTAGAATTTTTTTTTATCGTACCTACGATCCAATTTCATCAAGAGTCAGAAAAGGGCCAAAAAATTATTTTAAAGTTGGCCAAGCAAATAAAAACTTTTACATTTGATATTTTAAAAGTTTGTGAACATGATAATAAATTCATTATATTATCGTAAATATTATAAATAATATAATCTTGACTACTGTTTATAACAATTCAAGATTTATGGAAATAGGAATATTTCAAAGTGAAAACAAACATACAAATAAATGTTTTTTAGTAAAAATAATAGAAAGTTGAAAAAAAAAATAAGAAGAAAGGACATCGCCTGTTCTGAAGGTCATTTTCATATATCAAGATAAAATTGCTAGAAATGACCTTTTTATTGACTACTTATTCAGAAATTGGCTATAAGCCCCACGCACTCTCTTGATTTATTAATACTGGTAATGAAATAAAGTCCATGAGATAATCTTATGCACAGCCACTAAAGAATAGCAAAAAAATTTTTTAAAATACTATTGAATACATATTTTACTTTCTCTTTTCTATTTATCATTTTAAAAAAGAAAAGAAATAGTAATGAAAATATTCACAAAAATCCATTCAAAGACAACATAGAATAAAAGTAATAATAGATTATGTCACAAAATTATAAAAGTAGCTAATCTCTATATAAAAAAGAGCAGTTTTGCTGAAACCAAAATATTCAATATCTTAAGAAATATGATTACCTGTCTTCGGGGACCAAAGATTACTCTGAGGGACCCTGGTGGAACTGTCCTGCTTTATATACTGTACACTGGTCATTTTATGTTCCATGAGTCACAAACCCTGCCACTCAGAAACTGTCGTGTGGCAAAAAGACCTAACTGTGCACAATATACGCAGAAAATGATTAGATGCAAAAATTTTGCTTTTTCACGTCTGCAAAGTTTCAATTGTCATTATAGGCTTATTCTATAATGAACAAAGATACAATAGAACATAAAGCTCGAACAGTTCTGGGAATCTGGGAAATCCAAGTCAATTTGTGAATTCTGTTTATTCAATATTTTTTTTAAAAAATCAGAAATGTTGGATTAAAAGAAATGGGTTTAGGTTCGCGCTCACAGTACTTTAACAGAAATTTGCTTCTAGCATTATCTCAAATAAGTATATGATATACTCTCTTTCCCACTAAATTATACATTTTAATAGTTTAAAGATGGTTTTCGCATTAAATGTTATCGTTATTAGTTAAATGTCTTTGGGTAACTTTCAAAGAAAACAGAAACATTTAAACCAGCTAATATGGAAAGTATTTGAGATATAATATTAATGTATCAACTTTACAAAAGGCAGAATTAAATTTACCCTCCAAAATAAAGTTTTTATTAAATTATGCATTAATATCAAAAAGATAAAACAAAAGTAAATACAGTATTTTGTATATTTTCATGTGATAAGAGGAATTAAAGCAAATTATCATATGGAGCTAGTAATCTATTCATAAAATTGCTGTGCCAACTTTGGGGTGGGGGTACTAATTTAAATTTTCGTTGCACATACCGGTAATAGCCGACCGAATTGTAATGAAGACCCTTTTTAGCAAAAAATACAGTCTTTATGTCGCATTTGTAGTCGAAAAAACATATTATCTGCCCGTTTTGTCATGAATTAGTGAATAGATAGCATATATTGATATAAAAATCATGCTTTATACATTTTTGTCGAGAAAGTTCACAGACTGTTAGTGTACATAGCTAGGTCCATTTTTTTCTTCTAGCACATAAAATGGTCAAGAATAAAATATTGATCAATGTCTATATTTCTTTCGGTTTTTATGATGTATTATTTATTGCCGTGTTTACAGCTTACCTTCAAGAAAGGTAAATTCCTCTTAATGTAATTTTTAGGCTTTTATAGTAAGATTCGGTCGTTAATACTTATTTAATAAAAAGTAACATCAACACCTTTTTGTGATTTAAATTAATTTCCAGATATTGGGCATTCTGACATGATCTTAAACAGGCTGATATGATAATTTAAATAAATAGAATATGAATTTAAGCTTCTTTTTAAATCAAGAATTGAAACCTTTTCTGCTTAAGTTTAACTATTTTTAAAGCACAAATTGCATTTCATTTATTCAAAAAGTTTGGAATGGATTTTTGTCACTTAATCAAGCTTTTAAAAAATGTATTCTTTAATTTACTCCTAACTTTTAAATTGGCTCTGATAATAATTCTTGACCCTTTTTGAATGCATCTTTCTTCGAGACTAAAACAATACCCTTATTCATTTTCATCTAAGGTCAATTAATGTACGAAGTAAGCATTGCAGTGGCAGTACACCTGACCAGGTTATAGAACCTAGCTGTCACAGCAGTAGTTACCTGATGACAGGTGGTGCCGTATGTCGCTTGAGCAACCCTGTCACCGGTACCTCATAAAAATATGATAATAACCATTAAGTTGGCACCCTCTGTAGTGAAAGTAAGTGATGGGCGAGTATTTTATCATTAGAAGGAAGTATTTAAACGAGTAATAAGCAACCATCAATCGAAGGGAGACCGCGCGCGACTATTGATGCGTTTTTAGTTTATTTTCTTGATATTAAATATTCATGTTAAATGGCAAGTATAAATCATCTTAAGGTAGGATTCTTCTCACATTCCTTGTATTTAAAAATTAATGAAATTTTCACAGAATCAAGAGGACAATATCACTAAGTCATGGTATCACTGAGATTAAATTTGACCGTTTAATATTAGAGGCAAAGTCAGGTCAAGGTCATTACCGTTTTCCTGGACATTAGGAATAAAAAATTACTCTTTCCAATCATGCGATCCCTACTTGTAAATCAAAAGATTGAATGTTTTTCTTTATGCATAAAAAGATAATACCATATAGGGCCTATTAGATGATATTACCAAATTGACATGGATAATTTATATAAAATGGATATTTGCTAATCCGAATTTCCTCTTCTTTTCTTAAATTTTTTGGATTTATTAGTTACTTTTATATGCTTCCTATATTTAACTTTTTCCAAATTTTCACATATAGTAAAGTTGTCACATAAAGGTACAAAATGATACAAAAACTAAAAGTTTTGATCGTTTACTAAGAGAGAAATAACACTTTTTACGGATTTTCTGCTCAAATCTGTACTTAGATTTGAGGCATTTAAAAGCCAACATAGTTCTAGTTTGTTTGAAAAATCTTATTTATTTGATATATTTTGAAACTTTAGTCCCTTATTATTAATTTAACTTATACATGTTATATTTGAAAATTTCCTCTAATCTTTGATTGCGTAAAAATTGTAACTAAGTTCAATTCTATAATAATTTTGAGAGGCAGAAAAGAAGATATTTTCATACGCCACCATTCCGCCAAAAATATAGTTTTCAAACACAGTTTACCATTTCTATTTAAAGTTGTATAACTGTGATGAGGAAAGAAAAATATGGTCTTTTAAATCTCTTACATCTAAATATATAAGACAAATCAACAAATGTACTTAAATATTCCATCTAGTCAGAAACCAGAGAAGAATCCTACCTTAAGGTAGGATTCTTCTCTGGTTTCTGACTAGATGAAATATTCAAAGTATATTTGCTTATATGTCTTATATATTTAGGTGTAAGAGATTTAAATAGAGGATATTCAATGTTTTGTAGTTGAATATGGAATTTATTTCACGAGTGGGACAGGATTTTTGATATTTTCACAAGTGCGAAGCACGAGTGAAAATATAAAAAAAAATCCTGTCTCACGAGTGAAATAAATTCTATATTCAACTACAAAACATTGAATTTTCTGTTTATTACATTTTTTAAAAAAAATTATTTGATTTTTCCTTTGCCTCTGTCTTTTTGTAATACAGTCATAGACTCGTGACGTCATAGTTGAGCGGTTGAGACGTCATAGCTATGTGAAGTGAAAACATAGTAAACATGGATTCAACTACATATTTTTGTTAATTTTGAAAGTTTTATTCGCTTTCAGAATGGTTTATTTATTTCCATCTATCTTATATCATGTATATTAGGTCAAAGAGATTTTTTTTACAGCAATCTTCGCTATGGGAAGGGAAATCGAGAGTTTTCCCGCACTTCTGATATTCGTCACACTGTGACAGGATATCATTTTGATATCCTTTCACACTGTGACAGGATATCATTTTTATTCAATGAATAAATTACAGTATTTCACGGGTAAAAATGTAATAAAAGATCATATTCTTCTTTCCTCGTCACAATTGCACAACTTTAAATAGAAATGGTAAACTGCGTTTGAAAAGTAGCAGAGACTATATTTTTGGCGGAATGGTGGCGTATGAAAATATCTTCTTTTCTGCCTCTCAAAATTATTATAGAACATTGGATTTAGTTATAATTTTTACACAATCAAAGACTTGAAGAAATATTCAAATGTTAGTTAAATAAATAATAAAAGACTAAAGTTTCAAATTAAATCAATTAAACAAGTTTTTTCAAACAAACTAGAACTATGTTGGCTTTTAAATGCTTCAAATCTAATTACAGATTTGAGCATGAGAAAAATAGAAAAACATTCAATCTTTTGAAATACAAGTAGGGATCACGTGATTGGAAACAGTAATCTTTTATTCTTAATGTCCAGGAAAAAGGTAATGACCTTAACCTGACCTTGCCTCTAATATAAAACGGTCAAATTTAATCTCAGTGATACCATG